GGTGGTGGTACGCGCGCGCACCCACGTCCGTCACGCCGTGAGATATACGACGTAGATTCGCAAAACGCAATCAATGAATGACGATACGGCGCGCGCAGTGACCGTGATGATGATTTTTTTCCTCTCTGAGTGATGGAATCTTTTTTTTAAATTTCTTTCAAGACTTTTATTGAGTGTATTTTGATTTTGGTAAAGAGAGAGAGAGAGAAGAAAATTGCTGGGTAAAGTAATATAGGTTAGGGTAAAAATTGACGTTGCCCAACCCATTTTTGTCTCTACGTCTTATTTCTCCCGCTAGTACACATTATACGCGCGATGCGTACGCTGCTTTCGAGGACCACTCCGCGAGACTACGACGACAACGTCCTCAACGTCGTCGACGAGATACACTATCGATCGCGGGCGTCGGCGTCGCTGCCGCACGGTGGCGCCCTCGCCCACCCGGGGGGGGGAGGTTTTCGCGAGAGGGCGCTTCGAGATCATGCCGTCGGTGTAGCGTCGCACCGGTTGCCCGGCGTGTCCGTTCCCTAGCCGTGAGGGCAGAGTCCGTTCGCAAGATTCGCGATGTGCTCCTGTTTGTCCCTCTTTCTCTCTCTCTCTCCTTTTCTCGAACGACAATCTACTCGATTTACTTATTTACAAATTATTTACTTACAAATTATTTACTTAGAAATTAATCTCGAAGAATTTATGGCGAATTCTTGTATTAATCTCTGGTAAATTCTTGTTTCTTTCTCGTGAATGCGCGAGTGTGTGCCCACCGGTGTCAAGTAGTTCGATTGGTATCATTCGACTTTATCGTCGTCGGCCCCGTTTTGTATCGGAGGTAGGCGTAGTCTCGCGAGAGGAGAGCCCTAACAAGCAACCATCATCATCATCTCTCTCTCTCTCTTTAGGAACATGATCGTCGTCGCCCACAATGTCTGTGTATTTGCTCGGGGATTTTGTACACACACCATGTGCTTGTGAGAAAGAGAGAGAGTGTGTGTGTGTGTGCACATGAACGTGAAATCCGCTCGACAAGCGGCTTTTCACCTCCCGAGCATGGTACCGGACACCTTTCCGTTTCTGGAGCCATGCCTTCCCTGGACTAGCCGCCACTTTCCGGCAAGCATGGCCGTCTCCGAATTCGCTCTTGTGCAACCCACGCGTAAATTTGCGGGTAAATTTATCTCAAAATTGTCTCGTCGATGTTTTTTCAATGATCCGGGTTGAACGGAATTTTTCGTATGGACATTTTTGAAAAAATTTGTGGATTGTGCTGCACTAGTTGTGTTGTGGAAATTGATGGGTGGTTTAGTTTTTGAAAGAATTTTTGGTGACGGTTTGGGAAACTTTTGGTTGTACTTTTTGTTGCACTTTTAGTGAAGAATTTAGTGGAACTTTTGGTTGTGCTTCAAGTCGAACTTTTAGTGGTACTTCTGGTTGTACTTCAAGTCGAACTTTTAGTGAAACTCTTGGGGAAACGTTTAGTGAAATTGTTAGGGAAACGTTTAGTGGAACTTTTAACAAAATTCTTAGGAACAATGATGCTTTGGTAAAGGAAAGTATGCTGTAAACGAGAATTGTTCCTTGAAACAGAAAGTAGTTTTTCGTGCGGGACTTTTGAGATAATAGTGTTGCGTGTGGGAGAAACCATCTTTGAACAACCATAGATAACTTTTTGGTGCTATTTTTGATTCGGATTTCTGCAATGATGTCAATTTTGGTGCTGCTTTTGATTTGGATTTTTGCAAAGATGTCTAAAGTGTTAAATATCCCTTTTGGAAGAAGAAGTGGTTCGTCAAACATTTTCTTCAATGCGGAAGTAAATTTTGATTTGGGAGAACTTTCGGTTGGAGGAGTGACTTCGGATTTTCGGATGAGAAGAGTTTTGGAAATATTTAATGCTGAAAGAGAAGTACAAAAATAACAATTCACTTACTGATTTTTTGGTACCAAAAGTGTTTGTGTTTTTCTCCGATATACTATGAAGCGCACATGTTCGCTCCTCTGCTAAAGCAGTGAATTATTCTTCAGTGAATTTCGGAACATGAAATTTTCAAGTGAACTTTCTGCAAAACCTCTTCTTCAAAATAGTTTATTTTTGAAAGAGAATCCTCGCATTCTTTTCTAAAGAAGAACAAAATCGAATTGTCAAGTTTGGAAATATTTCCCTATCAAAAAATTTTTGAACATTGAAGCTACAAATTAAAGAGCTAAAAGACATACCGATGACTAACAAATTTCGACTAATTGAAATTGACTCTCAAGAAGCAGAGAAAAAAAATGTCGTTTCGATCTGAAAGTTTGACGGTAAAGTGAACAGGCGACTAGACTTTTGGAGAAGTGCCAAAAACAAAGTAAAATCGAAACCTAAATGTCTTGGACGTTTCTTTGTAACAATTACAAATCTCTCATTGGAGTTTAAGCAGAAGAAGAAAAAACTACTTGAATTTTCGAATAGAGATTAAAAATTGATGTGAAACAGGAAACCGGAAGTGAACACTTGAATTTTCGCTTAAGGAGTGTCAAAAAACGTGGGGATCTACCTGACCCACGCGTGCTTGCATCATGGCGAGAATGTACATTGCAGATATCGGCATGAAAAACTCCGAGAAGCTATAAGTTGTTTCATTATTAATGCACAAGGAATGGTAAAGGAAGAAACTTGGAAAAAGGAAGAAAAAATCTCTTTTTTTTTATTAATTTTTGGATTTACATTTTACCCGAGAATAATTTTTCGTAATATTTCTTCAAATATATCATTGACATTTTCGCACGTCAATTTTTGAACTTATTTAATTTGGATTCTTTCGAGTGATAATTTTGTGAATTTATTACTACAACTATATTTTGCACTTTTTTGGATAATCCAAGGATAAGATGTGGGATTACGTATCAGACACACTTCCGTGGGTAAGATCAATTTCTGCACATTCTTTTTTTTTCTTAAATTAATTTTTAAAGGCAGTTCGATATAGTTTTTTTATGAAAGCTCTTCGTAAAAATTTGAAACAATTTTGACTCGTATTATTAATTATCAAGAAACTATTATTTATTATTAAACCATTAAACTAAACTATTAAACTGAACTGTTAATAATAATTATAAAAATAATAATAAAAATAGTAATAATAAATAATTATTCCAAAACTTTAAGATTTTTCTTCAATTTTTTTTTTAATTTAAAAAAAAATTATTTTTACAATTTTTCTTCTGTTATTGTTATTTTTATTTTATTTATAATTGTTTTAGAAGAAACTGTTTTCTTTTTCACAATTTCAAAATTTTTTATTGTCAACATTTTGTTTTACATTTTTCAAAAAGAATGTGAACACATCTCTGAAGTTAAGTACAAAGTTGACGTGATTTATTTTTTATTATCGTTTGATGACATTGCTTATCGTCCAACCTTTTCTGATTGTTGTGAATTTTATAGTTAAATTTATCTCTGACCGATAAGAGCCGGAAGTCACTTTTGTTGGCTGTTACATATATATAATTATTATTATTAAAAAATGTAAATGGAATTTGATAATTATTGGTAGTTATGACTTTTAGGAAAATTTTTTCTTCTATTTCTGTTAATTATGTTTAATGTCACTTGAATTTAATATTTGAATAATGTTTACGTTGTTTAAATTTAAATTAAATATTAACCAGTTAGGGAAAAAAACCAGCTATGAGTTTTAAAATAGAAAAGTTTATTTTCAAAGGGTGTGAAACTTTTGCGTTATTACATATATAAGATAATTACTATTGATTAATATTTATTTTTAAATATATCCTATAATAAAAATCTTTTTGAATAATTAAAATTTTGTAGAATTTAATTGAAAATAATTAATTTTTTTTGAAAATCAACTTTTTAAGAATTTTAATTGAAAATTTTGAAAATAATTGAATTTATTAAAAATGTTAATGAAAAATCTTTAAATGTAAATTTAAAAATGAATATCATTTAAATAGACTCAAAAATAAAAATCATCTTTGATTGTTATAAAACATGAAGAAATCGATCATTCCGAGTCTTCGACTCGGAGTAATCAATTTCTTTATGTTTTATAATAAATATTCTTATAAGTTGTTTAATTTCAAAAAGGTTTGAATTTGAAATTTTTGAAAAACTTAATTCCTATGGGAAAATAATAATAATTAAATATTTATTTAAAAATGAAGTAATTGATGTTTTCGAATAATTTTACAATTTAAGAAATTTTTAAATAAATGTAACAGAACAATAAAATAATAAAATTTTTTCCTTTATTTATTATTATAGTTAATTTTTAAAAGTACTTTATATTTAACTTTGAGAGAAATTTGAAATAAAAATTATTTGATTCAAGTAAATATATTTATTTGATAATAGACAAGTAATCTGTTATTTGAATCAAATACATTTCTTTTTTAGTGTATTTTATATTTGACTTTATATTTATTTGACTTATGATTTTTATTTAACTTTATATTTAACATTGAGAGAAAGGTTCCTTGATTTATTTGATATATTGCAATTATTTATATAGGTTTTATTATCGGATAAATGGTTTCTTATTTTTAAATGATGAAAAGGAGGTTATAAACGGTATAAAGAGTGGAACAATCCGATATATAGGTTTTGATTATTTCCGGAAAGTAGGTCTCTACTCTCTAAATTTGAATTGGTAGATATTCACTAATTCACATAGTAGATTTTGACTAATCCAAATAGGAACGATTCTTCTATTGTGAATTAGTCAAAGTTAACTATTTGAATTGGTAATATAAAGGCCATTAAAATAAATTAGTAACTTAACCTACTGAATGAATTAGTGAGTTTCTAACTAAATATGACAATACAATAGAATTGGTTTTTACAAATTAAAAAGTTTTTCTAAAAGTAATAATACACGTTATAAAATGCTAAAATTATTTCTAAAATAATATCAAAATTTAAATTTATGTTATCTTTAAGAAAAATACTTTAACTAATTAAATTAATAATATAATGTTGAATATGGATAAGTTACTAATTTTGATCAATACAAATGGAGAGAGTACGCCTTTCGGCACTTCAAACCGGAATAAATTAATTTCCGTTCGCACTTTCAGACTTTACAGCCCGAAAGTTTTTAGGATTTGGAATGCTTGATTCTTTAATAATCCCTTCTTTGATTAACGCAATATTAAGTATATTGCGTTCAGCATTAATGTCTCTCTCCCACGTGACATGACAGTTGTTACAAACAGCGTATCTGTTGATTATTCGGAAAACTTGTTCATTCTTCCAAAATTTTTCGAGTCCAATTTTAATGACAGTTTTTCTATCTTGAAGCAATTTTGGAGTTTCAGAATCTTCAGTTGCAATGTCTTCAGTTGTCGTCTTCTTCTTCTTCGGTATTGGAAGTTTCGATGGAAATTGATCTTCATTGTTAATTACTGAAGAAGAAGAAGAAGAAGAGTCTTCTTTAAGATTCTGTTTTGCTTCAATGTTTAGATTCGATTGTTTACTGGTTGACGGTCCGTAGATAGTTGACTCTAATCTAACTGATTCCTCCAGTTCCGAATCGAGTCTTTTTCTGTTTGTTCGGCTCATTGTGACGGTGCTCCAAAAAACTGATATCACAAAAAATACAACCTGATATTATGTACACAATAATAAAAATTTAAATCATAAATAATTATAATGATATAAAAGATTCTTACCTTTGACAAAACAAGTTGTAAATTCCAAAATTGGCACAATGTAGAATTGATTATTCGACAGCAAGTAATAAAGTTCTCAAAATGGACAACGTACAAATAATCTGTAACAAATTTAATATAATTTTCATTAGAAAGTTGGGGAATATCTATTTTTAAGAATAGAAATATAATGTCAAGAAACATTTAAAATGTATAAATACTTAAATTAAAACTAAATTTAATAATATAAAAAATGCTCACCTTCGTCAAGGAAGTTGTGAATTACAAATTGGCGCAATGTAGAATTGATAATTCGACAGTTCTCGAGTAGAAAGTATCTGTAACAAATTTTTTAATACAAGTTTTATTAGAAGAGATAAAGCACAGCTCATTAGGAAAGGATTTGCGGGAAATAATCATTCGCGTTACAATAATAATATAATAGAATGAAAAAAGCGAAACGTTATCATTTAAACTATCAAAAAAAAAGTCGCGTAAAGGCAAATGTATACTCCTTCTAAACTTTTAAACCATACGTGTGAAATGCAGAACAACATTTATTAAAAAAAAGTTACTAAAAGTCAAATTCTTAATTAAAATTACAAAAATATCTGAAAATGCATTTCTATATACTATTACCGAAATAAAATTTCAAAATTTAAGGTTGTGTTATGTTTAAGAAATATGCTTTAACTAATTCAATTAACTATTAATGTTGTTGATTGAATTAGTAGAATTGAGCTACTATTTAAATTAGTAGTTAGAATGTGACTAATTTTTTAGTAGATAATAATAAAATGAGTAATTTAACAGTAAAAAAGCAGGCTACTAATTTAAATAGTTATAATTTGACTAATTCAAATTTAGAGAGTAGCAGTAAATTTGTCTATATACATACACATTTCCACATCTCAAGTGGTTCATATAAAATGCAGTGATATATTTTCTCGGAATGATTTTAAGCAATTTGTCTTGAAAGTTTTGCCGAATCTATAACACAGTTTATTATTGATCTCCATTTCCTCCTATTTTTCTTTACTTTTCATCTTGCCCCCGACCCTTTCTCTCTCTCTCTTTTTTTTTCTTCGTCGTCTCGTGGTCGATTTGTATGTATGTATGTATGTATATATATATGGAGGCGATCGTCGTTGAAGGGTGGATTTATATATTGAATCCTTGGTTTCTCGAGGCTTGCCAATATAGTACCAGGCAAGTTTTGCTTGAGAACTTTCAACCCTATAAAAGACAGCCACCCGCACCCATTTTTCCATTTCTTCTTATCTATCACTCCAGTCTGCTAAGCTTTCTCTCTCTCTCTCCCTCTCTCTCTCTCTCTCTTTTCTTTTTCTTTAAGCGCAGTAGTACACAAAACTCTTGTTGGATGCAAGAAAACATTTTTATTTTTCTTCAAATATCTACTGTGAAATGTTTTTTTTGATAGTCACAGAAGAATTTTTAGTGATGAAAGTGAATTTTTTTTGTTGCTACTTTATAAAGTTAAAAAGAGGAAATTGTAAAACAGTATATGGTAAATTTTGCATTTCTATAATGTTGTCTCTTTGGTAAATTGCATGTTATGAATTTTTTACTTTGTTATTTTTATTAATTATTATAGTAATAGTATTTTTATTATTATTCTGATAAATATTATTTTTATTTTGTTACTATCATTATTTTTTATTAAATATTTTGGAGGTTGTTGTGGTAAATTAAGGTCATGTAATTACTACATTTCCAAAGCGAGAAATCAGTCAAAAATTTTACTAAAAATTAGACATTTTTGAACTGATTTCTAATTTAGAGATTATTATTAAAATTATTAACTATCATAATTTAAAAGTTCTTTCATTCATTAACTTTTTCTGTCCCTCACACTCTGAAGTTGTCTTTTGTTTATACTTTTGTTTTTTGTTAACTTTAGATAGATTGTATATTATATTATTATGTTATAATTATTTTTATTTTATAGTTAATTCAAAATTTGTAATTACGAATCGAAATCATCAGAATTTTTTTCACTTCTTTTCATTAAAAGACTAAAATTTTATTAAATATTATGTTTTGTCAAATTGAAATTATTTTTGTTCTTTACTTGTAAACAAAATTAGAAAATTGTTAAACAACTGTGATTAAGAAATAGAAAATTTATTTATTTTGCATTATTTTTCTTTATGAATAACAATTTTTTTAACAAAATTATCATTTTGTTTTAGAAAAAGACAACAAATATTTGCACAATTCCTATTTTTAATCTTATTTTTGGAACAGGATTTTCTATAGGAATTAAGACATTCAAAAATTTCAAATTCAAACCTTTTTTAAATTAAATGACTTATAAAAATATTGTTAAAAAACATGAAGATATCGATTGCTCCGAGTCGAAGACTCGGAGTGATCGATTTCTTCATGTTTTCTAATAATTAAAGATGACTGAGAGATAAAATTATTATTTTATATTACAAGAATATTGTTACTGTAACTTCATCAAAATTATTTTCATCATTTTAATTCAATTATTATTTTCTAGAATTTTAAATTATTTTTTATGAAAATAATAATTGAAACCCTTAACAAAATTTTAGTATTTATGAAAATAATTGAATTCCTGTGAAATTTCTATTATTTATGAAAATAATTAAATGATTGCATATAATTTCATTAAAATTTTTTTTAAATAATTGAATTTTTTTTGGGAAATTTTATTAAAATAGTAGATATTGAAAATCATTGAAATTAGAAAAATGCATTTTATTTTTGAAAATAATTGAAATTATGGCAAGAATTTTTTTGACATTTATGAAAATAATTGAACATTGAAGAAGAATTTTGTTATTTATAAAGATAATATTCGTATTTTTACAAGAATTTTTTTCAAATTTTGAACATAGTTGAATTTTATAAGAATTTTTTTTTTAAATAATTCAAATACAATTTATTTAAATTAAATGAAAATTATTTGATTCAAGTAAATATTTATTTGACGATACACATGTAATCGGTAAATTAATTAATAGGTATGAATTTAAGTTTAAATTTTCAATTTTGAATTGAAAAATTGAAACAAAAACTTTGATTAATTTTATTAATCAAATGAATTTTTTTTCATTGTACTATTTTTGTTGTTATTATTATTATTATTATTATTATTATTATTAAAAATATTTTTATTATCATCATTATCGTAATAATTCTACAAATAATAATAAATATTTTATAATAATAATAAATTTCTTGACATTTAATATTATCTTTTACCGAGTGATAAACTCTACTACTTAATAATAATTATTATTATTATTTGTGGAATTGTTACGATAATGATGATAATGAAAATATTTTTTAATTGAAACGGAAATTTACGAAAGTGTAGTTGAATTTTTGTTCGTCAATTTGAACCCTACCCCTTTTGGTATTTCACATTGGCTACTCATTGGTAGTCGAATGCCTATGCATAACTCGAGAAGCACTTGCGCAAGAAGCATCCCTAATTCGATTAAATCCCTCGAGAGTTCTCTCGTTTGCGTATATATATCTGATATGATTTTGCTTCAAGTAAAATTGTCCTCTTATGTTTCAATATTTACTTTTTTTATATATATATATAATGTATAGACATGAGAAATATTTCCCCATTCCAATATCAATAAATCTATTAAGACTACTTTTCCTTTCAATTTTTGAAATTAAACTAAAAATTGTAATTTTTTTATTTAGTATATGAGATGATTAGTTAGAAACTTTTTCTTTAATTTGAAATTGTTGCGAACTTTTTTCTTGTATAGTGTTTTGTATAGTTTTAGAAGAATTTTGTACGAAAGCGCTTGTCCCGTCATTTACTAAATAAATAAATTGAATTTTAGTAAATTTTACTAATAAATAGTCATTTCTACAAATTTATTATTAAAATCTTATCTTATTATTTTAATTTAATTTTAGTAATTTACTAAACCTTAATAATAAATAGTAATTTCTACTAATTTACTGATAAAATTTACTAAACTTTACAAATAAACATTAATTTCTACTAATTTATTATTAAAATTCACTAATTATAAAGCAAAAAGTCAGTCGTAAGTTCAATAAATGAAATATTTTCACTAATTAAAATTTAGAGAGTTGACTCAAAGTGATCGATTTAAATTCGTCATAATTATTTATTTATTAATAATTTATTTACTAAACTATAAAACATATTACGTTTTCAGTTAATTAAAATTTTATAATTTCATTAATTGAGGGGCTGGATGCTATAATGTGTTACGCGCCATGTTAAGTGAATGGCGCGTAACACATTATAGCATCCAGCCCCTCAATTGTGTATGAATTACATTACTAAAATATATTGATGACAAAAAAAAATCATAAAAGAGAAGGGCACAAAACGAATTGCGTAGAGAATACATTTATTATAAATCAAAATGTCCTTGGACGATGTATATTGCTTTCGTTATTTTAATGGACTATAAAAAGTGAGGGGAGGGGGAAGACAGTAACAAAAATTGAGATCAATCTAGAGATTAGACACTTGACGATGAGAGAAAATTCGAGAGAGAGAGAGAGAGAGAGAGAACGGTTCCTTAAAATCGATTTCGATTCTGGGCAACGGACCGGTTAAAAAGAAAGAGGAAAAAAAACAAAAGGGGAGAAAAAGGAAGGAAGGAATCATCCTTGAATCGACACCAGACGAAAGGGGTACATGCATGACCCTGAACCCAACCGCCGTACCGCGCCGCCCGGTACAGGGGTGCCGAGCAAGCTTTCAAGAGAGATAGAGAGAGAGGATTTCCTTTCTCCCTTTCTCCAGAGAAGTAGAGCGAATTCTCTCTCTCTCTCTCCTTTTCTCTAGGGGAATAGAGAGAATTCTCTTTCTCTCCCTTTCTCTAGAGAAATAGAGAATTCCCCCCCCCCCTCTCTCTCTCTCCCTCTCTCTCGAAATAGGGAGAATTCTCACACTTTCTCTCGAGAAATAGAGGGAATTCTCTCTGCCCCTTTCTCTTGAGAAATAGAGAAAAAAGAGAGAGAGGAAGAGAGAGAGAGAGAGAAGGAAGGAGAGAGTGCAAGAAGGAAGGAGACAAATAGAGAGAGTGAGAGAAGGAAAGAGAGAGAAATAGGGGAAGAGAGTGAAATAGAGACAGTAAGAGAGAAGAAGAGAGGCAAATAGAGAGAGCGAAAGAAGGAAAGAGAGAAATAGAGAGTGAGAGAAGAAAAGAGAGAAAGAAATAGAGAGAGTGAGAGAAATAGGGAGAGAGAAGAAGAAAGAGAGTGAGAGATGGAAATAGAGAGAGAGAGAGAGCGTGAGAGAGTAGAGTCCCCGGGATCAATACTCCCGCGTCTTGCG